TGGGGACATAATCTACATGCACGTACGGGCCCCCATCCCCAAAATGGGCGGTCCTACCCGCGTGGTCCCCGCGTACGAGCCCGCCAAAATTTTTCCCGCGTAAGTTCATAACTCGCGAACCAGGAAAGCTAGAAAGCTGAAATTTTAAGGGTACGCTCCTCGTCCAAGCAGGTATTAATGAGCTCAAACCCAGCCCCCGAGTAAGTGTGGTACCCGCGTACGGGCCCGCCAAATTTTTCCCGGGCAAGTTCATAACTCGGGGATCTGAGATGCTAGAAAACCGAAATCTTAGGGTGATGTTCCCCGTCCAGGTGGGTATTAGTAAGCTCAAACCCACCTCTCGAATAAGAGTGGTGCCCGTATACGGGACTGCCATAGTTTTTTCGGGTAAGTTAATAACTCGAATACCTGAGAAACTGAAGGACTGTAATTTTAAGAAAATATACCCCGTCCACCTAAGTTTCATTTCGCTCAAACCTAATTCTCGGGTATGCGTGGCAAACATGCACGGGCCCGTAAAAATTTTTTTCCAGTATGTTGCTAACTCAGGAGCCAGAGAAGCTAGAAAGCTGAGATTTTAAGGAGGTGTTTCCTGACAGATCTGGCGGCCAGTTTTAATTTTTTTTTTTTTGTTTAGCTAGAAGCATTTGCCGAAAAAGCCGGTGCCGGTAGCAAAAAAACTGCGTGAAACTATGCAAAAAAAGTATCTTCGCACGGGCAGCCCGTGCGTTGGCCAATTATTTTTTTATTGCTGCTAGCTTGCATTTGATAGAATATTAAAACTGTATTGCATTCTGTACGTTTTTTTTTTTTTTTTGTATTCACCCGCTTTGAGCCTCTAGCAGTTTACTGTAGAAATGTATAACTTCACCAGCCTGTGGTTCGCCAGTTATTTCTGAAATTTCATGGCCTGCTGTTACCCTAGTCTTCTACTTTCCAGGGTTTTAAAGATTTGAAGTGAGCTTTTTTATTAGTTCACAGTTTTAGGACTCGCACTGGTGCACCAATGGTACAGTCAACATACTGCAGAGCAGATGTTGGTTACGTTGATTTGAATGTTCGCAATACTGGTGTCATTACTGACTTTTTCATAAACACTTTTAAAGGTCTGTGATAACTATTCAAAATCAAGCAGTGGGATTAGTTTTTATGCATTTTTTTTCTTGGTTTTCTTCTTTATTCGTACAGAAACAATTAAATTACTGAAAGTACTGGATTTGCAGGATGTCCTGGATCAGTTCTGTTTTGTTAAAATAAATGAACAGTTGCATTTTAGCATTCATAATTGCTCATTTCAAACCGATTGTGGAAGATCGGATATGTCGAATGATCAAAAACGTGATCAATAAAGATATGAATTACATATTGTCTACGATGCCTCTCCAGGTATTCTGGCCGTCTGTTAACGTCAAAATCTGAAAATGCGCTGTGGGACTCAGCTACTGAATACAGCATTTAGGGCGAAGATTTTGTAAACTGCAAGCAGATGACTGAGTATCCATATACTATCACTGAAGAGATGTTTTAGGTGCGTATCAGTGAAACTTCGATAGATGTGCTAGGAGAGTCATTTGGTTTACCGGCCAGAAGACCGTTAAGTAAGCTTGGTGATGCGAGTGCTAGGAACGCAACGGTGCTCAACATTATCAATCGGTTACGACAGAAAAATCTCATTTTGGATTACCGACTTATTCGCGATCCGGTGATTGCGTACGGAGCGATTGAAATGCTGTCGCGTGGTGAAATTTCATGGTAAATATTTTTTGACGCAAATGAATCAGCCAAGTACGTACCCCAAGCAATATTGATCACGCCAGCATACCCCTCTAAGTGTAACAGAACAGAAGTTTTGTAAAACTGACGATATTGCACCTCATTATACGTTTTTTGCAGCAATGCAATGCGAAAAACGCATATTGACGAGAGGTTGTCTGTGTGTGT